AGATCCTGTTTTCACAATTTCATGTCGCCAAGCAGTCTCATGACCTAAAACACAGTGTATAAACCCTCAAAGCTGGCCTTTAATATTACACTTTAATATGTACTTAGCAAATAGGCACTTGGATTATATTTTATAACAATGCTACTAAAAGTAAATATAACAAAATTAAGGTAACAAGGAATCGTTTCAGCCCTTGTCAGATTTGTCATACTTAGGCGTATTCGGGATGTCTACTGCATTCAAAAAGCTACATTTTTATTATTATAACTACTCTGAAAAATAAAGAATGTCCTTTTTTTTACAAAAAAATAACAAAGAAAAAGCTAGCAGTAAAAGTACTAAAAACTAAAAGTTAGTTTAGTTTTTCAACAATAAAGAGTAAAACTGAAAACGAAACTAAAAACGTAAAAAAAACCAACAACTGACATTTAAATTCTTCATACCTGTTTCTAAACTTCAATATTTGTGTTCGACAGCGCCATGTGAGTCATGTGACCCACCCCGCCGGTCATATGACGTTCAGTTTCACGCGGAGCTGTAATCGAGGAAGTTGAAGTGAACGCTTCTTCTTCCTCTTTCCTCGCCGAGCGCAGGGATTTATTTTCGGGGTTCGTTTTGTGTTTGAGACGTGACCCGGGCTTCAGCCATGCTCGGTGGAGGTCTGCTGCTGTGTTTGCTGGCCGTGTTTCCGCTCGGCTCGCGGGCTGAGTACAATCCGGATGAAGTGACGCACTTGCCCGGAATGACGTTCAAACCGAACTACCGACAGTGGTCAGGATACCTGCAGGCACGGCCTGGAAAGTTTCTCCATTACTGGTAAGAACCGGTGGTAAATGCGCCAGAAACGTCGTCAGAGCATGACAGGTTGCCCACACCGCGGTGGTTTCTGTGAGCTTTTACCTCTTATACTAATTATACTAATTGGGGCGATCGTGGCTCAAGAGTTGGGAGGTCGCCTTGTAATCGGAAGGTTGCCGGTTCGAGCCCCGGCTTGGACAGTCTCGGTCGTTGTGTCCTTGGGCAAGACACTTCACCCGTTGCCTACTGGTGGTGGTCAGAGGGCCCGGTGGCGCCAGTGTCCGGCAGCCTCGCCTCTGTCAGTGCGCCCCAGGGTGGCTGTGGCTACAATGTAGCTTGCCATCACCAGTGTGTGAATGTGTGTGTGAATGGGTGGATGACTGGATATGTAAAGCGCTTTGGGGTCCTTAGGGACTAGTAAAGCGCTATATAAATACAGGCCATTTACCATTTACCATTTTACCATAATTATCTGCAACGGGAGCCGGATTAAATTTTCAGTTTAGAGCCCGAATGTTTAAAAAAAAAAAAGGAAAAGAATCGGCTCATAATCAGCTTTTATAATAATATTAATTACAACTAAGTACATCCTTCACGTTCTTCCCACTAACACAGAGTCTATTAATTACCCCTGAGTGTATATGGACAAAAGTACTGGGCCACCTACATAATAAACCTATATATATTTTCCCAGGTATGTTACAGCTTTCAGTCTTCCTGCAGGATTTTGGAGTGTGTCTGTGGGGAATTTTTGCCCATTCATCTAGAAGAGCTTTTGTAAGGTCAGACACTGTTGTCGGAGGAGATGACCTGGCTCACTGTCTCAGTTCTAGTTCATCCCTAAGTGCTCTGTGGGGTTGAGGTCGGGGCTCTGTGCAGGCCTTACCTTTATGGACTTTGGTCCATCCCGGAACAGAAAAGGGCCTTCACCAAACTGTGCCTACAAAGTTGTCTAAAATGTCTTGGAATGCTGAAGCATTACAATTTTCCTTCACTGGAACTAAAGAGCCCCGCAACAATCCATAAAACAATCCCATTACATTATTGGATTCAATAACTAAGCGGTACACCTAAATGCTTCTATTGCTTTTGTCCACATGATGCGTTTCCTTGCGTAGTTCATGTAAGCCTGGTAAACATGACTTCATGTTTGCAGCAGCACCCTGTGTTATCCTGAATCAGAAAGACAAACCAGTTGAGCAGGTTTCTTGAACTTAAACACCAAATCACTGAGGAACTTCAAGGAAAGCTTTAGATCACGGGTTTTGATGCAGATAAACAAAACTGTCCTTGTGGTTCTAGCTTGGGTCTTATCTGGTGTGTGAGTGGTGTCAAAGGTTTTCTGAGCTCAATTATTGTATTGGCTCTGAGGTTACAGTGCATTGGAGCAATTGGTCCTTATTACACTCGTTCTTGCCTGCAGATCTGCTTTCACTATTCACAAGAGATTATCTAGTTAGTTGGAAAGAGTAACTTTGAGTTTGTGATAGCTTGTGTCCTGATTTCCTGCAGGTTTGTAACTTCTCAGAGGGACCCAGTCAAAGACCCTCTGGTGCTCTGGTTGAACGGAGGCCCTGGCTGCAGCTCGCTGGATGGGTTCCTCTCAGAGAATGGACCATTTCATGTGAGTTTGCTCACTGTGTGCATAACTACACTCGTGCACTGAGTAAAGTGGATTTCAATAGAAAAGTCTTGACTCTGATTTTCAGGTAAATGATGATGGGGCTACGCTGTACGAGAACAAATTCAGCTGGAACAAGATTGCCAATGTGCTGTATGTCGAGTCTCCTGTAGGTGTGGGATATTCCTACTCTGATGATGAGAAATATGCAACTGATGATGACCAGGTGAGTTCAGTGTGTTAAATAACCAATGCAGATTTTTACAAAGGAAGAAAAAGTGATTGTGAAATGTAAAAACATGTGAAATGTTTATCATAGGTTGCCCAAGATAATTACAAAGCCCTGCAGAATTTCTTCTCCAAGTTCCCAAACTTCAGTCAGAACAAGTTCTTCATCTTCGGGGAGAGCTACGGTGGAATTTATGCGCCAACACTCAGCCTCCTTGTGGCCACGGGAAAAGCCAAAATAAACTTTAAAGTGAGACACTTCATCTGCCTCATGTCCTAATGTAGTTTCATGATGAAGGAGAAGTTGTTCCTCTATATTGTGCCCACTGATGTGGTTTAAAATGATGCATTTTCTTGTTTCCAGGGCTTTGCAGTGGGAAACGGCCTCAGCAGCTTTAATCTCAATGACCAGTCATTGATCTACTTTGGTTACTACCACGGCCTCTTTGGAGAAGAGTAAGTTTTGCCAAGGCTTCTTGTTTTATTATGAAGGAATGGCTTTAAAAAGAAATGGTGTTTATTGTTTGCATGCTCCATTACACACGAGATGAATTCTCTTGAGTTGCTACATAAAAAAATATCTGATCACTTAGATTGTTTTTCCTATTAAAGTCAGGAGCTGGGAAGCATATCATTTTTACATTTTAATATCATTCTTCATATAAAAATATGACAGAAGTAATCTGCCTTCAAGTTAAGAGATCATTTGCACAGAGCTGATGCAGAGCTGTTTCTTGTGCAGTTTGTGGCGTGACCTGAACATAAATTGCTGTAAGGATGGGACCTGCAATTTCTACAACTCCAGTTCTGAGACATGCACAGTACTGGTAACATGTTCACTGTTGCCTTAATCAACTGGGGATTTCTCATGTTGACTTAAGTCTTTCAGACATCTACTACTTTGTCTCCTTTACAGGTAAACGTGGCCTTTGGTCTCGTCTATAATAGTGGACTTAATGAGTACGCCCTTTACTTGGATTGTGAAGGTCAGAGAAGATCCAGTAGAGTCTATGAGAGGACCATGAGTCTTCTGTTTAGGAACTACAGGAATCACCCACATACACACAAGGTAACCCTCCAAAAACAAGTTTTCGTGCACTCCATGTCTGTCCTTCACTTGTCCTGGGTTTTAATGATAGTGTTTATTGAAGTTTTCAGCACAGAGAAGTTCCTCCACCACTCTGGGTGAAGTCCCACCCTGCATCAACAGCACAGCCCAGATGAACTGGCTGAACAGAGGTGACGTGAGGAAAGCGTTGCACATTCCAGCTATCCTGCCTCCTTGGGATATCTGCAGGTACGGCAAAATCTTCTGGTTATTCCAAAATTGGTGATAAATAATGTTATGTGTGCACCTCAAGTCCTCTTTGTTGCAGTTTTACTGAATACAGTGGGATGCGAAAGTTTGTGCAACCTTGTTAATAGTCATCATTTTCCTGTATAAATCGTTGGTTGTTACAATAAAAAATGTCAGTTAAATATATCATATAGGAGACACACACAGTGATATTTGAGAAGTGAAGTTTATTGGATTTCCAGAAAGTGTGTAAACACATGACTGTGGCTCTCTAATGGTGGGCTGTTCCTCATCATCATCATCATAATAATAATAATAATAATAATAAACTCAGACACTGAGGCTTCTATATGTATACATCCTCACATATATCAGCATTTCTGCCAATAACAGCAAGTTCAAATAAATCCTGGTGTGGACAGTGGTGTTGATGGAAGGCGAAATGAAGATTAAGTTTCACTTTTTAAGAAATCTACACCTTTCTCAAAGGCAGTATAACTTTCCAGGGCCCTCGCATTTAAAGCATTATCTTAGTTCAGTTCACTTCAGATCAGTTATATTTATATAGCACCAAATCAGGCAACAGCCTCCTGTTGTTGTACTTTCTTTTGTAAGGTAAAGACCCTAAAATAATAGAAAAACCCAAACAATGAGACAACCCCCTGTTAGCAAGGACTTGGTGACAGTGGGAAGAAAAAACTCCCTTTTAACAGGAAGAAACCTCCAGCAGAAGAAGGCTCGGGGAGGGGCGGCCAGCTGACACTACCAATGGGGTGAGGGGAGGTAGACAGGACAAAAAAAGCACAAATGAATAACTAATGACTAAATGCAGAGTATGATTGTAATTAGCATGGTGTGATTTCCGTGATAAGTATGTATTTGTTGCAGTGATAAAGTTGGAGCGCAGTACAAAGTGCTGTATGCAACAATGAAGGACGTGTACCTGAAGCTGCTCTCTCTGGGCCTCCGTGCGCTCGTCTATAACGGAGACACCGACATGGCCTGCAACTTTCTGGGCGACCAGTGGTTCGTGGAGGATCTCGGCTTGAAGGTAGCTTTAATTCTACATTCATAAATTATACTTTTTCACACCAATGACAGGCACTACTTGTACTAAAATGTTCTTAGGCAACTACTAAATACCAAACCTGGATTCATGAGGACCAAATTGCTGGCTTTTATCAGATGTTTGGAAACATCACTTTTCTGACTGTTAAGGTAAGCATTAATGCTTTTGCATTGTCGGTTTGTTTTATGTGAAGATGTCGCAGTTACTCAAAATACTGCTTTGATCTGTTTCAGGGTGCAGGTCACATGGTTCCTCAGTGGGCTCCGGGTCCAGCTCTCCACATGTTTCAGTCTTTCATAACAAATTCCCCTTACTGAGTCGGAGAATGTACTTTTTCTTTATTTGTTATTGTTGTTCTCAGGGAAATAAATTTGAGATGTAAAAATGACTCTTTGGTACTGCACTTGTTCATTTTCAGTTACCTCCACTTTTAATAGGTCAAGGCTGTCAGCTGTGTCTGGCTCTTGACAGAACAAATGGAGAACACTTTCTTTGTTTTTGTTTTGTTTTGTTTTTGTGGGGTGGGGGCGTGCCCAAAAGTTTAATTAATCAAATTAACAAAGAAATGAATAACCCATAGTTGTTAAATGGTTATAACTGTTTTTCCCTCAATCTCAGTTTTTATGGGTGAAATTTGTGTTCGTTTAGATTGAAATTAACTGATTTGGTCACAAACCCTCTCCAAAGCTGCTGGTATGTGTGTATTTTTACCATTTTTGTCAGGAAATTCAGGAGCTACTTGTGTATAAAAGAACCATCTGCATCCTGTGGTTTCTGCAAAGCTTCTTCTCATTGACTCAGACAGATCTGAGTCCAGATATTTGATGCTGAACTTTAATAAAAGTATATAAAGTACTGTCTGTGGCACTTATGTAAATGTTTTTTTCGTCCTTATGGTTGACGTGTTAAAAGAACAATGTAAAAGGATTTTTTTTTTAAACGTGTTGTCTGATGTCTTAACTCCGATCAAAAACTGTAAGTCGATGAAGTGAATTCAATGTCTTTTATTAAATTTTTTGTTCAACTCATGAGATTTGAGCAGTCTACATTTATTCACATGCTTTAACTACACTTCATTTATTGAAGTAGCATTGAATGTTCACTAAAATATTTCTACCAAATCTTCCCATTAACATATTTTCAAGTCACTTTTATGAGACAACAGGGACATGATTGTGATTAGCAAATGCTTTGTTAATCAGTGGCGTTAATGCAGCTGATCATCGATAAATTAAGTTTGACACACAAGTTAAAGCACCAAACCATAAAAAAATGATCATAACAATGATTGTCTAGAAAGAAAAAAAAGTATCCCAGCACTTAGTATTTTAAGAAATTTTGATTTTGTAGTTTTTCTTCACAACTATGATAAATGTCCGTCCAGCAGTCTCATGTAGCATACCCGTGTTTCTGACAGTCCCTTTTTTCTGTTTTGTCAGTTGTGTTCACAAAAGTACTTGCTGGGTTTCATTAAACAGGAAAAATATAACTACATAAACATGAAATCAGAGTCAAAAAAAAAAAAAAAAACATGTACTGCAAAAATGGTTATTAAAGTTACAGTTGGTACAAAGATGAGGGGTAAAGTCATTTGATGTAGTTTAACCATGTCAGTGATCTGTGCTCTGTATATCTTTAGTGTTGGGATATTTGAAGAAGAAAAAAAAAAAAGCTCCCACTTTGGTTTGAGGCAAACAAAAACTAAAATTATTTCTTTAACTTAAAATGTCACATGTGCAGTTTGCTCAGTTTCCTTCCTGTCGTGTCTTAAAACCCTTTCGTGTAAATAAAGTGCAAAGTGAATGCTTTGTAGGTTACATCCTTCCCTCTCTTTACAAACCTGTGGAGGTGGTGCTCATTTGTGCAGATACCGAGCTGCCCTTTTCACCCTGTTTTACACACTGGCTTCAATAGCATATCGTTGTAGGCTTTTGCTCATTTGTACAAATAATCTAATCTAGTCCAATCTAATCTAAAATTCAGTTGTCAAACTACCTTGTACTGTAACACAATAAATTACACAAACCAATAAACAAAAAAAAAAGTAACTCATTTTTAAATCAGTTTTAAAGTGTAGTATGTTTGGTTGTTTTGTCCCTATAATTGAAAACCTCATAATCAAACTGCCCTGGCTCTGCATTAATGCCAGTCTACGCCTTTACATACATTTAATATGCTTTGTCCTACTGTGGTAACGTATCACTTAATCCAGTTTGTTTTTTTTACACTGATGAGTAGACAAACTATTAGCAGCGACATAATTAGTACTGAACATGAATTACATTATGACATGCTAATTAAATTACACAAAGTGGTACAATTCTTCTGTTAAAATCAATCTGATTAAGTCCTTCGGCTCTTGTAAACAGGAACGTGTCATTGTTACATCCACAGAGGGGAGTAAGGAGTGCGTGTCCCCTCTGGAAATAATGACACAGTAAAACACATGAAACATGCTGTTAGAAGCGTCTGAATTCCCTCAGCATGACGGGGTGAGTCCCCAATTGAACGAAACTCTCTAGACCTTCATGTCAGTACGGAGCAGGTGATGTTTGTCTTTGTTGTTGTTTTTTTCTTTGGTCATGAGACGCTTTGTATCATCCAGAGGCCTGAGAGCAGCACCGGCTCGTGAAAATTATTCCCTTCAGTTGACGACGTCCTGGTAGATGGAGTTTGTCGTGGTGAGGCCAAATATGAACGCTCCAAGTGTAACCATGGCGACACTGAAACGATCACCAGCCCGTGCCAGCTGTGAGAGAGAGGAAATACATCCGTCTGAGCCATGGATAGATAACTTTTTTTGCAATATGACAGTGAATCAATGTGGCTCCAATGTCAAAAAGATTAAAGAAACTTTAAAAAGTGTTCAACTGGAAAGTTTTTCTTCAACTTTGATTCGTCACAGATCAAACAGATGCAGAATCTCAGTGGCATAAAGACGGGCTTATCCAGTTTTACAGCTTTTGCTACTAATAAAGACGTCTCCCATGGCCATTCATACCGCACTAAATTAATAGATAAACAAAGAAGTTATAGAATAGTTATTTTTTCAATATTTACTCTATAAATTTCAGTTCACAGTAATTAATAAACTAATTAATAAAAAAGTGCCCATTTTCTGTAAATTAACAAAAACCTTAGTCTGATCAACATCTCAGGACATCCTCTGCAATGTTAAACATTTACACCCAAACAGTTGTGCTGACGCTTTTCTGTCATCTGACATCTGGGATTAAACGCGTAGTTAAACTTTTTTACAACGGCAAAAACGGGAGCTTCACTGGTCTGGCCTACTTAAGATCAAGGTATGCTGTATGTAATCTGTTGTAGTCATGTAATTGTGAAGGGTAACATAATGTAGCATCCAGAATTAATGCAGTTTTAAAAGTGTGCAAATATGCCCACAAGCTCAATGACAGCCTCACATGCAGAGGGCCTTTTGAGGTTTTGAATGTGTAGTCAGCTGATAAGAAAAGGTGTATGCAAATAACACTGCATGATTGAAAAAAATAAATAAAAATATTTTATCTATCTCTATATATCTATCTCTATATATATATCTAAAACTCTATCATATATAATATATTTTATATATTTATATATATTTATTAATTAGGGTGCAACGATATTCGTATCGATATTGAACCGTTCGATACAGTGCTTTCGGTTCGGTACGCATATGTATCGAACAATACAATTTTTTTCAATTTTTTTTTTTTTTTTTTTGTCCCGTTTGATCTATAGCCATCAGATTGTTGTCTTGAGGCCAAGAAAGATGCAAGAGGATTTATTTTAAGTGGATCATCATATTGGTCCATTTGATTGACCTTATTATAATTATGAATTTATTTTATTTCAGTTGCAAACGGGAAGACATGACTGTGGGATAGGACAGGGGGAAAGAATGAAAGAAAGAGGGGAGAGAAAGAAAGAAAACCAAAGGGAGAAAAAAAAAAAAGAACAATACAAAATTTGTAATTTATTTTATCAACTTCCTTCTGACGATGCTGTCTGTGTTGAGTGCTCAGTGAATCTGCATTTGACTACTCCGCCTAGGCTCGAGAGTGCAGCCTAGGCGGAGTAGTCGAACGCAGATTCACTGAGCACTCAACACAGACAGGATGGTCAGAAGGAAGAGCGCAGGGCAAGCTAGCGAGACAGAAGTGGACCTCCCCCCCTCATTCAGATCTGGCGTTTGGAATTATTTTGGTTTTCATGTGACGTATGACCCTGAAGTAAGCGAGTCATGGAGTAAAGTAAAACAGTATGTTGGATGTGCATGCAATGCTCAATTACATGGGTGGGAGCTAGTGTGTTAGCGCAGTTAGCTCGTTAACGTTTGGCCGTCTAGCCCCTCTGTATAGGGTAGCTCGGTTAACGGAGATTTGCCGTGTTGTGGCGTAAGGTTATTTCAACGAGATTAACCTGAAAGCACTAGTGGAACACAACGAATATGACTGCACATTTACACCGACATCATCCTAGTGCAAAGACAAAAACAACAAGCATGCATGCTACAAACTTTAGCCGAGTCATTTAGACAGCTGTTAGCACAGGATTCTCCTTATGGAGACCTGATATGTTTAATATGCTGCTGAGAATATAGCCCAGAAGAAGCGGATAGTATAGCTTTATTTTGGAAAGAGACATTTCTCTGTAATAAACTCTCTTTTCCAAAGATGAGTGATTCCTCAATCAGATACAGGGCTCGCAATATCGCTAGCCCGACGTCCCGGGCTATCTCTCCCCTGCCTGTCGGGCTATTGTAGAAGGAAAAATATATGTCAATGCTTTTGCATTCTTTCAGAAATGTAGCTGGGTAATTATTTATTTTTTTTTTATATATATATAATATATATATATATATATAATATATATGTAATGTGTGTGTGTTGTGTGTGTGTGTGTGTGTGTGTGTGTGTGTGTGTGTATATATGTATATACACATACATACATATATACACACACATACATATACACACACACACACAGAAGCAGAAAGAAGACCAGAACTCAGCAGGTTTGCAGCAGAGCCTCACCTTGCAGATCGGACGTCAGTCTCTGAGAGTTGGCTGCATCAAACACAAACCTGTAAATTTAAAGAAACACGGGTTGGCTTTACAGCGCGTCAATAAAAGCTGCACAGAAAACCCGAACAGAGCAGATGGCGTGCAGTGTACCTGGGAAGACAAAGATGAAGCAGGCTGCCAGTCCTCCGATCAGAGAGATCACTCGACCATATCTGGATGAAGAGGCGAGGACGAGGTGATGATAAACCACACCAGCGTCTGCAGGATCCTCCTCCTCCTCTCACGACGTACAACACCTCTACCTGTTCACCTTGGAACGCAGCCAAAGTCCCTCTATAACTGCCCTAAAACAACACATGACCACAGCAGAGTACTGAGAAGAAAAGATCCATAAAAACTAAATAAGGACTTTAGTACACACAAACACACCGAGGACATACCACCAATCCCTTTGACTTTTTGGGGTGTATTTTTAAATCATCTGATACAGATTTTAAAAACTACACACGGGGTACACCTGAAACAAATCCCACATCAGTGCTCCTTTTCAATTTCTAAATATTGGAAAATTTAGTAACCCTAGCATCACTAATAAACATTATTTAATGAGACAGATTATATTTAGCCAACAACAAATACATAAATATGGTCAGTTTCTCTGCTGGCAATAATTTGAATGCATCTCAGTGCATGAAAAAAAAAAAAAAAAAAAAAAAAAAAAATCACAGGAAACAAAAAAGGCCAAAAAAGAAAAGATGTAAATTATCTGATGCCAGTAACAGGCTGCAGTGAGAAATCTCAAAGATATCGCTCCATAAGTTTTTCACTAGTAAGAACTGACAGCCTTACCAAAAAAATAAATAAAAATCAGCTTATATATTTTAGACACTTGAAATGCAACCACTAAAGGAAATGGATAAGGTAATAAATAAAGGAAGAAATAAAGTAAAGGAAACAGCAGAGCAAAAAAAAAAAAAAAAAAGAAAGAAGAAGAAATGCTC